CGCCAAGAACGACGAGCGCGTAGTGAAGATGGACCTACCTTACAGCTGACTGACGTGGAAATTACTCAGCACAAGGGTGTAGTAAGTTCGTACGGCAACTACGTGAAATTGGCGAGTACCGAGGCATGCGAGATGTGATGATATACGGATTAGTACTAGTGGAGACGCCAAGAGGTAGACGAGCGGTACTTCCACCTGAATTGTGGTCGACGGCGTTCAAAGAGAGTCATGATTCTGTGTGGGCAGGGCATCTGAGAGCTCCACATACCTACCCAAGACTTTCACAATTGTATTGGTGGCCTGGACTACAGAAGGTAGTGCAACGATGGGTACTAGGTTGCCAAGAGTGTGGTAGTCGTAAGGCTCGACCACGGCAAGTAATTCCGCCTCTTCGGAGTATGCGAGGTGGAGATGTTGAAGATAGGTGGGCTCTTGACGTTGCAGGGCCTTTGCCGATGAGTGATGGAGGGCAACGATACGTGATTGCAGCGGTTGAGTATGTAACCAGATACGCTGTGGCAATTTCGGTGCAGCAGCACACTGCTGAAAACGTGGCAGCATTTCTAATGAAGTGCGTGGTGTTGAGTTTTGGCCCCTTTCGAGAACTTCTGACGGATGGAGCGCCTGAATTGGCGGGAAAGGCAATCGAGCAGTTAGTGACAATGTTACAAGCTGGGCAGATTAATCTGGTCCCATATAAACCGCAGTTAATTGGATTGGTTGAGCGTTTTCATCGTACCTGGAAGGACTGTGTGCCAGTGTACAGCATACTGAAGATCAACGAGATTGGGATGCATGGATAGATTTCGCTGTTTACGCTTACAGCTCTGGTAGGCACTCTACGGTGTTGCTATCACCTAATGAGCTGACGATGGGACGCAAGTTGAGAACACTGAACGAGCTCCTAAGAAGAAATAGTGTATCAGTTGACAACCTATCACAACCGACTACTTACATCAATGAAATCAGCACATGAGTGTGCTGAACGAGCCCGAGAGCGTGAGCAACGACGGCAAGCACGATATTACGCTCGACAGGTGAGAAACAAGCGCAACTTAAAACCTTGCGACCGAGTGTGGATGTACAGGCCGCCGAGAGGGCCGAAGGCATCGAAGTTCGTACATTCATGGATTGGACCTCTGAAGATAATCGAGTCTGCTGGTTACGACAATTTCTTACTGGAGAGAGAAGATCAGAACGATAAGAAAGAGTTTTTCATAGCTCATGCGTCATTTTTAGTGTCTTATCACTATCCTCCGATGATGTTGACGAGAGTGGCGGCAGATCTGGAGGGCAGCTCGAGAATGAAGGCGAGATCAAGACGAAAGTGCATGACGAGACGGCAGGAG